ATATATATATATATATAATACCAGCTGCTTCTGTATAAACAGAAAATCTCAGACAACTGTGACATTAATATTGGTTCATGATGTTTTTTGTCATACACTAATTTAAAGAAACTGCCATGCATTTAAGTCAGCTGGCAAGTTGACCTGGAAGTGGGTGTGCAATGCAGTTTTTCGGTTTGCTTTTCGACAGACTCAAAGACAATTGTTTGACATTTCTATTGCATTGCATTGCATTTATATTATATTGCATTTGGAAAGCTGTAGGAGGCTCATGATCCTTGCCCCTATCAACACCGTTATCATGGCCAACAGTCATAATGGACAATGTGATTAACACCCAGCTTGAAAGATAGCAAGTATTTTACACCATAAATGGTGAGAGGCCGTAGAAGTACAGGGTTCACACACAGTTTAACACCATGCAGCAAAGTCACATTTCTGGCTGTGGGTTTCTTGGTAATGCTGAGAAATAAATAATGATAACTTTTTCGTTTCGTTTTTTCTCTTCTCTTATCTTTAATTTCATTGTATTAATAGTATTTGTATCATTGTATTGTACAGTATTCATATTTGCTTTGGCAACATGTTTGATTTAAAACGTCATGCCAATAAAGCCAATTAAATTGAAATTGAAATTGAATTAAATCATGATGGAGACTGATGAGTCTGGCTTATAGCACTTGTGTATCGAGGTTGTCTGAGCACTGAGTTCCTGTCTGTGTCTGAGGGACTCTTCCAGTTCAGTTTGTTGTTCTATCTGTGTTTTTCTGTAGTAAACGATTGAAGTTTTTTTTGATAAGCTGCATTTTTGTTTCTTTTGTTCCTTATCTTCACTTACACACTTACACACCTACACACACAAAAAACATAGGCCTACTTAACTTGGTGCAGAGGACAGAGTCATATCAATTTTATCAAAGTCTTGACATTCTATGATGACGGGCCATATTTTAGTAATACTTCAATTTGATTATGAGAATTTGTACACTGAAGCAGTAGCAGAGTATTATGATTGGACACGTTTTGGAACGGTAAATGTGATAAATTGATTGAATCTGTCCGCCTG